TGGACGTGTACAAGCGGTTCCTGGTAAAGGAAGCCGCCACTCTCGTGTCTCGGGCAGGGACCGTCCTTGTTCTGGACGCGTATGGACCTAGTATGGGTTGGTCGGGACCATAGGGAGCTGTCGCTCTCATTTCAGGACTCAGCAGTGACCGACCAGGTACGGAGATCCGCTGCTCTCTGTGCTTGTCTGGCCGTTGTGTGGTTAAGCTGTAGTTACGGTGTAAATGTGAACAGGGATTGTTTCAAGTGTTGCTTAATGAGGCAGCAGTAAGAATGAGCTGTGATAGTTAAGAGCAGGTGATAAAGGTGAACAACTTATGTGAGTGTGCAGGGGGGACAATAGGCCTGGCACACACACACACACACACACCCACCTCTCTCTTACACTCCACATGTCCACTCCCACACACCACCATCACACTGCACACACCCACACTCCACCCTCAACTGCACACCACCCTCATTTCTACACATCCACACACCACCCTCTCATATTCCACAGCCTCTCACTCCACAACACCCTCATATTCCACACCTTCACCCTCACACTTTCCACATCATGTCACTGTCACTTCCCTCCCCTCCCTCCCCCTCCCCCATTTTCCCAGTCATGGTTTGGTGGTTTTAGGCTTGCAGTTTTTATCTTATAAAATATCACAGACTAAAGTTAGGAGAATATAATTTGCATTGCTATAATCCTTCCAAGACCGAATATTTTGAATATAAATGTCATATATTTTGCACAAGATAATTTTTTTTATCCCTATGTAATAAAATTAATTGGAACATGTCAGTTCAGTGACATTTTATAAGAGAAAACCTTAAAGGCACTCTTAAGGACAGATAAATAAATAAGCACTAGACCTTGGCATCAACTGTCAAACATATCACCTCGCCTCCCCCCCCTCTCCCCAATCTTCACATCAGCTGATCGCTAGTAAACAGACCATTTCACGTCCCATAATTTTAGCTGTGTTGATTTATGAGTGTTTGTTTTAACATAATACTACAAAAAACAATGTTTTGTTTATTCTAGGAGATGGGCTGAGGTGCATCCGGGTAGACTCTCGGTCTTTTTAGTATTTTGTGTTTCTCTCAAATACCAAACTAAATTATTCCATTGAAACAACACTTCGATTTACTGCGAATTTGGTTTAAAGCGACCTCTCTTGGAATGTATCTTGTATTATATCGACGTTCTACTGTACTGTAATTTGGTCGCTTATACAAAATAAAGAATAAATTTTAACTAAAATAATTGTTTTCTCTACATATAATTTGTAAATAAGCATGTAACTTATATCACTCAGGATTTTATAGTCCACTCTTGTACAGTAAAACTATTTTCTCTATTACAGAGCAAAAGAGTAAAAATTTAAATGTTCTAATGTGGGTTATAAATAAAGAAAATATAATATAAAACTATAAAATAAGAAAACAGAGTATGTGTGTGTGTGTGTGTGTGTGTGTGTGTGTGTGTGGAAGGTGAACGCATGTTAAGGCCACTCAGTGAGCTGTCCTGCGTGGTTGACTCACCCGCCTCCCTCCCTCCCATGTGATGTCATGGCACACACACACACACACATACAATAGTCTCAGTCAGCTGGTTGACTGCCTGGTTGAACTGTGGCATCGCTTAGATGATGGTTTGAGTGTGGAAGATTTTATTTTATTTTATTTTTATCTTTTTTTTACATAAAATATGTGCTAGTGTATTTTATGATATGCTATGTATCAGTTTTATAGATTATCATAGCAAGTATTGTTTATAAAGTGGGTATGTCACTACTGGTGTCAGACATATGAAGAAATGACTTAAGTTGCTTTCGTATTGTTGGACTGAATTAGAATTTTTACCAAAGGGGACATAGTTGGGATACCGGGAAGATTCAAACAGTTGGAATTCTGATAAAATCAATTGCACTGTAAATGAAATAGTCTATGTCATTGGATTTACCTTAATAGTGGAGACGTTCTGCTTACAGTGGCTGGCCTGACATGAATGGGGGAGGCTGTTGGGTGTTACTGGGCTAGTACCGCAGGAACCAGATTTTACCAGTGAGTGTTGAATATTAATTTTGGTGCCCTAGATACTCTGTGGTGCAATGTATAGTACAACTACTCCTCGACTTACGACATACTTGACCTACGACCACCCGGACATACGACCGCCTCAGTCGTACCAAAATTTTGTCAAATTACGTATTTTCGAGTCCCAACGTTAGTGATTGCGCTGTGTGCTGACAAAATTTTCGTTTGTAATTCACTTTAAAATGGCTGGCAAGCTTAAAAGTGAGAGTTTTGTGGTGCTGAGAAGAAAAAGAGGCACCCATTTTAGATTTTCTATGTATTATTTAAGCATTTTCGACTTACGACCAATTCGACTTACGACCTGGATATGGGTCCCTAACCCCGCCGTAAGTCAAGGAGCAGCTGTACTTTATACCCAAAATATTGGGGTACTACAGCACCCTCCCTTCCCACATCCATGTACTGGGTGGAGTGAGCCAGCACACACCCGACCACAACAATAACAAACACCAGACTAACCAAGCGTGGAATGCAGCGCGGCGAGTGTTACCCACTTGGCCAAATATGCTGAGATTTTCCCAGATAATTTTATATAACTCGACATTTCCCAAATTATTTTATAATAAATTCTGAGACCATATACATGCTGAATTATAAAATTCCGAGATATTGATTGCTGAGTAATCAAGGGTTTACATTATTCCCCCCGGCCCCGATGTGGGTCAGTGACCTGTGCCCAGGTTGGCTAATCCCCTTAAAAAAAAAGTCATGCTGCTACCATTGCACATCCACCTCACCATTCTTATTTAAGTTCACTGAAGCCAATGACTCAATGCTATATGGCCAGTGTTGTACGTTGATGCCGTTAATTTAACGCTGTCAATGAACGGCGGGAACTTTTTGTTAATGCTGACGCCATTAATTTTTTGGGCAGGTGACGCAGTTAACTTTTCACCCAAGCGTCAATTTGTTCGTCAACTTCTAAAATGTTCAAATTTTCCAAGTTCGATTTTCAATTACTGTATCTTGTTATAAAGATGACTAGGAAAAGTTTTGCCTCGCCCGACGCCCGATTTTCGACAAGGACACTTTCCCCAACAAGGCCATGAGGGAGTTGTTCATCAAATACAACACCCCCATCCCCTCTAGTGCTGCCGTGGAGCACATGTTCTCCATGGACAAGGACGTCCATGGAGAACATTCAGCAGAATGAGTGACAAGCATTTTGAGATGCTAGTATTCTTGCGGGGGAACAAATGAATAATTAAAATTATATAATATACCCGTAAATCATAATAAATGATGAAAAATGAATTTATATTTTTTTGATTTTGCATATGTTACTCCCATACACAGGAGAATACGCATTTCGGGGCTGCATTTGTACGTCACTGAAAACTCGTTGACGCTAGTTGTTGACGCTGACGCTAACGGCGTCAATTTATGAAATCGTTTACGCCGATGCTGACGGCATCAAATTTCTCAGCCGTTTACACACTGGCGGCTCCACTTTTTTCGTTGACGCCGCATACAGCACTGTACAGTGACCCTCGGTTAACGAACTCAATCCGTTCCAGAAGGTCGTTCGTTAACCGAAAAGTTCGTTAACCCAAACCATTGTTTCAATGGGTTTTGGGTAATTGGTTCCAGCTCACCGAAAATTTCCTAAATTCAACAAAAATGGTAGAAAAGTTCACTTACTTTGAGGTGTGTATGTAGAAGGCTCCTGGATGATGATGATGATGATGATGGGAATTACAATGGGGGTGGAGGAGAAGGAAGAAGAGAAGGCATTGGGGTGGAAGAGAAGTCACCCCATGGCACCATTTCACCCATAAAATTTTAGTTCTCTTGGTGTATTTCAAGATTATTTTCTTTAAATCAACACTGTACTGCATTATATATTGTCAATATGTAAAATATATTTCAAAATGACCAATAATTTGCTTGGAAACACAGAAAAAAGCGTTTAGTTGAAGAGAGTCTCAAGCAAGATGTTACCTCCAGTGAAAACAGAGAGACTAACGCCTGTTTGCTGTGTTAAGAGGCTGGATGCTGCGCTTTAAACTAGTCACTTTACCTTCAATTATGTTCAATAATTGTTAAAATGACTAAAAAATTGAATATTAAACTTTTAAAATTATTGAATAGTATAAACTTCTTGATATTTACTAAAATAGTTAGGAATTTAAGCCCTAGAACCGATTAATGTATTGGCGGACTGATACTAAAGCTGGTTGCCCGGCCAGTGCAAGCGAAAACATGTTGAGGTCGGTTCGTAAGAAATTCGTTAACCAAATTTTTGTTCGTTAACCGAATTGAAGATCCTTATGGAAGGCAGTTAGATTGGCCCATTTAAGCGTTAGATTAGCGAGGGGTCACTGTATATGGCACAACACTTTTCACATCAGTTCAGCATCATCATCGTTGTTTTTTGGCCATTTTGCTTGTGTGGGTTACCTGATGACAGCTCTCCATGCTGCGCAATCTTTTGCAGTCTAACTTGTCAGGTTCCTAACTCTTACCTTATTTCTTACAATCTCTCCTTATGTCATTCTTGGCTTACCCCATCCACATTTGGGTTCATGCACCTCATGACACAATTGGTCTCATCCATTCTGTCCACATGCCCAAACCATCTCAACCTGCCTCTATGCAAAACTTCATCCATACTCTCCATACCCAGCTGCCCTCTTAGCTCTGAACAGGGTTTCCTGTCTTTCAGTGTCATATTACACATGCTTGAAAAGTTGCCCTTTTATCCTCAAGAAGGCTCATTGAGGAAAAAAGGGCCTCCTGCCCCCTGTAATGTTCTCTGTACTGTACATCACTGGTTATGAGGAACACTGGGTTTATACCTGTAAACTTGTTAGCACAGTGTGTAAGTTACCCAATACATACTTGTTATAAAATAGGAATTCTTTACCACTCCTGTATTCTTTTTATTGATTTCTTGTTTATTTCTTTCAGACTATTTGTCAGTGGGCACCAGCGATAGAATTTCAATGCTCGTGACTGTGTTGCAGACATTAAGAAAAAAGAAGATTATTGTGTTCTTCAATTCCTGCCATTCTGTCAAATTTCACCATGGTGTTTTGTCTCATTTCAGTCTACCTGTTCTCTACTGTATGGTAAGTTAATTACATCAGAATCAGCAAATTAATATTTGAGAAGTACAGTATTTTTTTATGAAACTGAATACTGGTATCCCTCGTTTAACAATGAGGTTGTTTTCCTGAAAAACCTAACTTTAAGCAAAATTATTGTTAAACAAGGGATAACAGCAAAGCATGGAGAGTGAATAACAGGCTCAAACGATAGGGTGGTAAACACTGAGTACAGTACAAAGTACAGTGATATCCCCATTAGCCGGAACAATTGGTGCAAAGGACTTCTGGGGATGAGAGATTTCCGGGTAACAAGACGACTTTCTCAAACCCGAAAAAATTCCTTATCCCCGGAACCTTTTCCGATTACTGGGAAAAGTTTCCGAGTGTCTAAACAAGACCTCTTGCACAGACGCACACTAGCCCACTTCTCCAGAACGTTTCTGGGAGCTGGAGATGCTTTCCTTGAGTCTAAACTATACTGGAATCTGTAAATACAGTTCTAATTAAGTTAAAGACTTGAAATCTTTACTATAATAATCCAAAATAGTTTATCTAAAAGTTTGGTTAAATAAATACATTAATATCGCCCTTAGCCAGAATCCCTCAAACCTGGAAATCTCCGATACCCGGAATTGAAATTGTCTCGGAAAATCGTTCCGAAAGCTGTAATTTTCCGGAAAATTCCGGTTTTGGGAACGATCTTCCGAGGGGCATATTTTCCAGAAAATTCTGAGTTTTTTCCCCGATATCCGGAAAATTCCGGGGATATATTTTTTTTTCCCGGGTTTGAGAGATGAAAATCAGACACATTTTCTGGAAATTACGAGAAAATTTTTCCGTTACCCGGAAAATTCCAGAATATTCCGGGGATGAGGGATATTTTTCTGGGTTTGAGAGATGATGTAATGCTCAATTTCTGGAACTTCCGAGAAAATTTTTCCGTTACCCGGGAAATTCGGGAATGAGGGATATTTTTCCGGGTTTGAAAGATGATGTAATGGTCAATTTCTGGAACTTCCGAGAACTTTTTTTTGTTACCCGGAAAATTCCGGAAAATTCCGGGGATGAGAGATTTTTTCTGGCTTTGAGAGAGTCGTCTCGTTACCCGGAAATCTCTCATTCCCGGGGATATCACTATATGGGCATGAAAGAAGCTGTGTGTTACAGCAAAGACTCCCATAGAGCTGTGGGGGGATTAGTGGGTCTTGTGTAACTGATCTGACCTGATGCACTGTCAGGTGGAGGTAGGATGGGGGATTAGCAGTCTCATATTACTGATCAGTTGGAATGTCAGGTTACCCTTCCTTGGGTGGAGGATTAGTGGGTCCTATGACCTGAAGACATCTTGAATAAACACAAAACCTGAAACATTTTTAGAGAGATTGTGGTAAGTACAGATATAAGTATAAATGAGCAAAGTTGTATCCCTTCAACGTTACTCTACATAATATTTTAAAATATGGAGTGAGAAAGAAGAAAGGTGTGGGTGAATAGAGAGATGGATTGGAAATGAGTGTTGCCAAGTACTCCTCAACAGCTGATATTTAACTCGCTACCATGCAGTCACACACACACACAGATGTGTCTCAGTTCCCTTGCTAGGGGTGTGTGAGTGGTGTTGGGGTCTGTGTGTGGTTGTTAGAGGGTGTGTTTGTGTGTGATGTAGGGGTGTATGTGGGGGGTAGGATTGCGTGGTCAGTCCCCTTCCCCCATTTCCTCGCTCAAGCGTGGCTAATTGTGATAGGGAGATGAATTTGATACCATAATGATGCTTAATAAATTCTCTACCAAACGTTTCCAATAAGATATCCTTAAACAAAATATTTCTATATGATATACTGATGGGAATGCCATTCTTCTATATAAAAACAATGTAAGAAATGTTGATACCAGAGTCAGTAAAATCAGTTCTAATTTCGTTAGACACACCATTTTTTTATCAAAATAATTCTGAATACTTTATCTAAAACTTTGGTTAAATAAATATATTTAAAAAAACAAATGTTCGATATGATACGGGTGTGAATGTCTAATTGTGTCTTAACATTTGCGATGAAGGTTGGGTGAGAGATTATTGGGTCACGTTACTAACTTGACCTGATGCAACGTCAGGTCACCCAGTGTTGGGTGGGGGATTAGTGGGTCTTGTGACCTGAATATGTCTTGAATTACATTATTTTTTACCTATGAGGTACTGTGGTCCCTCGGTTAACGGGCACAATCTGTTCCAGCAGGTTGCTCGTTAACCGAAAATCTCGTTAACCGAAACCATTGTTTCAATGGGTTTTTGGGTAATTGGTGCCAGCTCACCGAAAATTGCCTAATTTCAACAAAAATTTTAGAAATTGACACTTACCTTGAGGTGCGTATGTAGAAGGCTCCTGGATGATGATGCTGATGTGAATTTGAAGTG